AAAGTTCTCACAATTGCTTTTGTTTTTTTCATTGCAAACTGAAGATCCTGCTCTTGCCTCCCATCCTAGACTAGTCATGAACAACAACCAAAAAACCCTGCAGTGCTATCTCAAAAGACAATGACTCCCATCTCTCTGTGCTGCACGCTCCTCTGTCTCCCAGAGTGTACACTGTGGTATACCTATCATTACTCTGGGTGTTAGAGAAAGGAATCGGTTGCCTTAAGAGCTCGAGCTATATTAGAGACTGGAAAATCATAAAGTTAAAGCCTGTGGAGAAAGCCTGTCCTCTTCTGTATGCATCTTTCCCGCAGGAAACCACAAAAAGAGGCAGAACATGCCAAATAAGTTCTCCCTTAATAGAAAGGTCCCTTAATAATGCTTGTGTTTCAACACTTAGAAAGGCAGAAACTGTCTATTCTTTGGGCTTCTGATAAGTAAAATATTTTCCATATACTTATTATTAGTTATGATTTTCACAAGTTATAAACATTATATTACATTTTTATTGCAATATAAACATTTGTTTCCAGTCTTCCAATGAATCTGGAAAGACATAAAACACTTAATTCATCATATGCTAAACGCTAAGAGAGAAAATACCTTAGAAATATTTAAAAATTAAAATGTTTAAGTGCTTGCCTAATATGCATAAGGTCCTGAGTTCCATCTCCAGCACTGGCAAAAAAAAACAACAACATAAACTTAGGAAATAGAGCTTATGATCATAAAGAAAATAATCATCAAGTCTACATAATCTCAAAAAGTTAGAATTGTTTTTTCATTTAAAAGGCACATGGAAAATATGTTTTACTGATACAGTACACAAATGCACAGTCAAACCCAATTATACTGAATAGCTAAAACTATTTGCTATTTGGGGGCAAATTGCTGAAGATAGTAACTGATAGATCTATCATAAAGAAATAATAAATCAGAAAACAATAATAAATCAGGAATGGTAGCTCATGCCTAAAATCCCAGCTGCTTGGAAGGCACAATCAAGGCAAACACAAGCAAAAAGAAAGAAAAAAAATAGCAAGACCTTATCTCAACCAATAAGTTAGGTGTGGTGGCACATGCCTGTGTTTCCAGATAAGGGGAAGGCTGTACTCTCTGTGCAAAACCAGGAAATCTTATCTGACAAAATAACCCATAAAGGGCTGGAGGTATGGTTCAAAAGATAGAGTGCCTGTCTAGTGACTGCAAGGCCTTCAGTTCTAACCCAGTACTACAAAACAAACAAAAAAAAATGAAATTTAGTTCTATGCTATTCTCCCCTTTGAGTTGTCTGTGATGAGAAGACACACAGTAGATGCCATTACCAATTTTCCATAGTAGTTCATACTTTAAAGTTCGATAGCCTGGGATTTATGCTCATGAAAAGTGACTCTGGGTTTTTGGTGGTGGTGGTGGTGTTTGCTCTTGGTTTTTTTTTTTTTTCTTTTTGGGAGGGGGAGGGAGAAAGACAAGGAGCCCAGAATGGGAGGGAGGAAGGGTGAACAAATGCAATCATGCTATTCAGTAGATATTATGTGAAAAATGACCTGTGTAATTTATGGGCAGAGATGGGAGCGGGAAACTGGGGAAAAGGAAGGGGTGATTTTGTTCAAGAAAGAAATGTACTATTTACTTGACTTATGCATGGTAACCCCTCTGTACAACACCACAATAATAACAATAAAGTTATTTTAAAAGTGAACTTAAGTAGACAGAACTTAGTCTCCTTGTGCCTCTGCTTCATATATGCAAAATCAGAATCAGTGCTATTCCTTCATTATTATTAGGATTAAGTGAGATACTTGTGTCAATACAAAATGAAATATAATGATTTTCATAATAATTGAATTAGATAATACTCAATAACATAAAAATGAGTCTTGGAATTATTATAATAAACATAAAAGGGCATTCTAAAGTATGAATTATAGCAGGAATATCTTTTTTAGAAATTGAGAAACAATTAAATTTAACAAATTTAACTTAATTATAGTATTCTCTTGCTTCCCATTTATAGGATTGTGATTAGCTTATGGGAGAAAAGTAGAAAATGGAATGAGGTTGAGAAATCTTTGGATTTGGTGTGCGTAATTGTTTATACTCTATCTTTTGTTTAGATAGAAGATTCTCTGTTGTTAATATAATATTTGAGGAAAGCAAAACAGATGGATACAAAAGCAACTAGTTCAATGAATAGTGTCAATGAAAACAAAAATACTCTAAGGTAAAAAAAGATGCATCTTTTTTAATGTTTAATCTTTTTAATGTTTTCTTCATCTTTATTTTTTGTATGGTTTTTATTGTAAAAATACTGTACAGAGGAGTTACAGTTACATGAGCAAGGTAATGAGTGCATTTCCTATCAAGCATTGTTGCCTCCTCCTTTGTTTTTCCCCTTCCATCCCTTCCTCCTACTCCACAATTATCCCCCTCCCCTCCCTCACCCCCCCACCAAAGTTGTAAAGTTTGTTTCAACATAGTGTCTTGTACATCTCATTGTCATAATGGGTCAATCTGTATCCCTATTTAAGCATTTTGTTTTTTCCCTTCCCCTCCCCAAATTAGAGAAGTGTATATACAAGATGCAGGGCACCGGTATCAAACACAGTGAAAACAAGGGTTATACCATGGGGAGGAACATACAAAGAAACAAAAAAAATCACATAGTACATTATAAATACATTAGAAACAATCGCAAGAAAGAAAAAAACATTTGTGTCTCTATCTTGGGGTTCATTTCACTTAACATCATCTTATCATCATATGTATATAGGTTTGACCTTTTCTGCTTGTCCTACACATGTACTAATTATTGCAAATAAGGGAAACCATGGGACCTATGTTTCTTTGGGCCTGGCTTACTTCACTTAATAGAATTTTTTCCAAGTCTTTCCATTTCCTAACAAATGGAGTGATGTCAACAAGATGCATCTTTAAAGAAGAAAAATAAAATAGCACAAAAACATGTGATGCTCTCGAATTTTCAAACAAAATTCTATGATTACTCTTAAGTAGCAAAAAACATTTGGTAAATAACAAATTAGTAACCATTCTTCTGGTGACCAGAGAGTAGGTAGTTCAATTCTGGGAGAAGTCTACAATGCTAGGAATTATCTTATGATCTGGAAGCCTAAAACCTGTTGGCTGGCACATTCTCTCTGTCTCTGTCTCTGTCTCTCTGTCTCTCTCTCTCTCTTTCTTGCTCTCTCTACCCCTCCTTCTCTCCCTCCTTTACTTTCTCTCTCTTCCATCTCTCTCAGTCTCTAACTCTGTCTATTAAATAGTTTTATATATGTTACTAGGGTCTAAGTAAAAGTTATTGTACTATACAAAGCTAGAAACAAGAGCAAAATTGATGATGACATATACAAGTATCTGTAATAATAGCAAATGGTTTTGAAAAGTTTTTTTTCAAATATTTGTGTATACCGTAAGTAAGTAGGTAGGCTGATAAACAATTGTAATGAAAAGTTGCTGTTGTCTCTAATGATTATATAACACCTCTGAGCTTATACTATTAAGAGATTTCTATCATTTATCAATGTACACTACAAAAGTAGAAATAATAATGTACATATATAAACTGAAAATTGTAAAATAAATACTAATGGAAGCCTATTTTATAGAAAAAGAAATCAAGACATCAGGGTTCATGCAAGACACATGCCATGATTAATTGGCCTAGGATTTGGTCTAATGCTAAAGTAAGGGCCATTAATTAGATTGCTAAAGCTGTAATAAACACAAGAAGGAGAAGAATGGTTGCAATATCCATCCCTATAATTATAAATATGGTTTATAAGATGCATGAGAATTGAAATTCAAATAAGGACAAATATCTGATGATGCCATATTCCTTTATCTGGGAATATGTGGGTGGGAATTATAACTCATTTGGGTATTAAACTTTAGGTCATAAATATTTTCTACCTTGGTAGTACATTTTCAGTTAACTTCTTGGGCTCCTAAGTGAAAACTTTATGATCCTCTACCTCTACCACCCAAGTAATGTGATTACAGGCATGCATCACCATGCTCAACTAAACAAATAATTTATATGAGTGGAGTAAATGTAGGTTATTGGAAACTATTTGTAGATGCTTCATGTGCCTAAAAGAGAAGGTAACTACATTCTCTGACAGATTGTTGACTGTGGTTAAATGAATAAAACCTAGTCCTCGAGGGCCAGGGTTTGGTTGTTTGATCTCAAAACTTTTCTTTATCAAAAAGGAGACGTGGTCCCTTCTCTTTAAGATCTTTCATACTAAAATGGTTCTTGACACCACATTACATTCTACAAACCTAAAACCTGTGTCTGACATCAGGAAGGTTACAATCACTAATTGGAGGGCTCAAGCAGTATGGGTTCACTTAGATAATTAGGGGTATTCTCACATACTTTGGAATAGATACTACATAAAGAATAGAAATAAACCAGAGTAAATGCTACTATATAAACACAAACATGAAAACAGTTGAGTTGGTAAGGTTAGCACAGTTCTCCAATGGAATATGCCATAATGTAGGAACTTTGTTCACTGCTTTTCTTCCCTCAATAAATTCCTGTGTAAACAGTTTATTTTGTTAGCATTAATGGTCTTCAATTAAATCATGTGCTTTGAACATATCAATTTACAGAAGTATTTTTTGCCAAGTTATTTATAGAATGCTTAGGTCTGTCTTTCAGAGTTGCCAGCAAATCTTTGTGTATACAGATCTGCTTTGAATTTATCAAAGTCCTCTCTCAACTGTCATTGTATAAAACACATAGGCAGCAGAGACTTCCTCTACACAATGTATATTGGCTATGCTTGATGTTTATCTTTGTACATATATAGACATTAGCATATAAGAAATGTGGAAGGTGTCCATAAATTCAAGGAAACATTTAAGTGCACAGTGATACATAGATACAGGGGCATAATACTTTATGTACTTGATAAATATTTCATCTCTACATAAAGAAAGCTTTTTATCAACTTTGATTGTTTTTTTATTACCTTAAAGTATTGCAGTTGTTTCTCAGAATTCATTGTTCCTTCCTTTTCTTGTCTCAGACAGGAATTGAAGATGAAAAGCTCTGTATCTCTTAGCCACCCTTTCAGTTCTTTGATCCTGACCTCCAGCTGCCTTACCAGGCTTCCGCTTTCAGGAGAGAGCAGGTCACGTGGACCTGATCCACTGTGCCCTGACATTGTGTCCTGTATCTTCTCTCTTAGGGTTTTCTAATGCATCAGATTAAAAACAAAACAAAACAACATGGATTAGCTTAGGAACCAAAAGCACATCATAAAAGCTACCTGAAAGTGTCCAGCTGTACCTTACTTCTCACTGATAACATTCAGGCCAGATTAGCTTGCTGCTTGACTTAGGGTTCCATTTCTCAGGCAGTACATGGTGTTCTAACAACTAGTGGATGCTTAGAAAAACCTAATTCACTCTTAACAGGACATTTGGTCCAAAAGTTCACTCTTGTCACAGATAAAAATTCATTTGAGGGCTAGGAAGGTAGCTCAGTGGTAGAATGCTTGCCTTGCATGCATGAGGCCCTGGGTTCGATTCCTCAGCACCACATAAGCAGAAAATAAAAAAAGCCGGAAGTGGCGCTGTAGCTCAAGTGGTAGAGCACTAGCCTTGAGCTGAAGAGCTGAGGGACAGTGCCCAGGCCCAGAGTTCAGACCTCACGACCGGACCCCCCCCAAAAAAAAATCATTTGACTTTTCATGACAAGAATATACAATAAAAATTTCTCAGCATAAAATGTTTGATAGAAACCTGACTTGAGTCAGTATACTAAAGAGGCCAAGGATAGATTGTGCAGAGATTTAAATTTGGTTTTGTTTTGTGAAATACAATTTGCCAAGTAATATGACAGTAATATTTTTTAAAGAGGAAGCTTTCTTACTGCTGCTGCTGATTTGACCTGACTTCGAAACTGTTCAACCCCACAGTTCTTCTCACTTTTCATGTAGATGCTAGAAGCTCTAATAAATGGGTTAAAATCATCCCAATCACTGTGCTAGGAGCCCACTTAGATTATCAATTATGGCATGAAGGTAACATTGAACTGTTTTTCTTTTCTTTTTGGTGGAAAGCGCTCTCTTCAAAGAATCAATAGGATTTAATCTATAATGATAAATTAAACCTACAAAAAATAAGCTTTAAAACACAAATAAAATTAAGTCAACAAACATTCATCTGTTGTGCTATATTTTGTAAATAGGATCTTTAGGAGACTGTAAGAGAAAAATAGCCTTTCTTGGCAACACCCTTGTATTTTCATGGTGTAAATATTGATAATTTAAAGACTCTCAGTGGAATTCAGATTTAGCTATTGTTTTTATGCTGTAACAAAAGTAGCAGCAGGAGGTGAAATCAATGCCCTTGGAGGGTAGGGTCACAAAAAAGAATTTATTGCCACTTTTTTGTTCTGGAACAGTTTGCAATCATAAATTCTTCATAAACAGAATACTTCAGAGAATGGTCCGTCTTCATAAATATACGACAGAGGACATCAATTTCATTTAATTCACAATTTGTGTCAGCACAGCAGATGCCAATGCCTGCCTTGATAGGGTTGTTTAATATGCAATTGAGACAGAGTAATATGCAGCACTGGGGACAAAATTTCACAGATTAAACTGTACGCACCACTGACATTTCATTCTAATGTATTTCCATTCCACACTGTTCACCTTAGATGAAAGTAATATTAAAAACCATATCCCTCTATTTTACTATTGTTAGAAGTTAAAATCCTTGTCTTTAATTTTTTTCATGCCAATTAAAATGTAATCATGCCAATTAAAACAGTATGCCTGGTGGTATTAGTGTGGTACAGGTTTTGTTAAAATATTCCCTCTATTCCACTTTCTTCCTAAAGTGTCACAAAACTACACACTGTAATTGAATGATATTTTGTCAAGATAGCAACCACTTTTAAGGTCTCTGATTCATTAGGAACAGTAAAATATTGTTTCTTCAATGTAATATTGACTAAAATTTTGTGATGAAGAAGCAAATATATATGGCACACTTCAAACAGATTTCAAAAGGACCACTGTTCATTATTTGTCAAATTATTAAAATATATATTCAAATGCAATAGAAATAGACTATTATTTTCTCTATCAAGAACATAAACCTGCTACTCTTATCTATCTTGTAAACAACATTTTAAAATATCATATACTCTCTACTTTCCTCATTCTCTCAATGGATTCTGTAGAATTTAGTAGGATCTGATTTAAATCACCATTCTATAAAGTGCAAGGCACTGATTACTTTTAAAAGGCAATGTAACAATAGGCTAGAGAGTAAGAACTTTTAGCATTTTAAGTTCCTCTGCACAACTGTAGAACGTATAGAATTTAGATGAGAACTAAGGACTTAAACTTGCAGGTTTTTAATCACTGTGATTAAGCATGGCATAAATGCAAGACTGGCATTTCTCCAATTCATCAAGGTACATGGAGAGCTTCTAATTCAAAATATTTTTGGAGTATTATTTCTTTAAAAAATTTAAAGAGGCAAAAAAATGGAAGGCATGAAAAATTATGCTCTATAACTGACACTACCCATACTTAGCTGTTATGATTAATCATTCAGGTAATTGACAAATTTAGCTTACCCTTGATTTGAAGTGAAGGCAATTTAGGAGAGAAGTTGATGAAAAACTACAGGTTAACTTCTCCCTCTCTGATGTCTTCCAACCAGGGGACAGTACTGTCTCCTGCACAGTGCCATCCTAGTGTCTGGGTAACAGAGTCTCTAGATTGCCTTTCTGCCAGATTCTTGCATCTCAGTCTTTGGCTGAGACCCAGCCCATCATTCCGTGAAATGAATTACACAAAACTCTCTCTCTCTCTCTCTTTTTGCTTTTGTTAAAAGTGAGCTAGAAATTGAGGCACACACAAAAAAGGGCCCATTTAATTCTGCAATTCAGATCTGGGTCAGATTTGCATCTTTGTTTTGGTGGCTTTAGTGTAGCTTGAATGCTGTAGTGACAACTCTACTTTTCATCTTAAGGGTACAGTAAATAGTTAAACAGTGGATGTCTCTAACATGTACCTTCAGAATAAATTCTATTAACATTCATTCAAGCATGACAGTCAGTATATATCAGATATACTGTATCATAGTTGACTTGGTACATACCCATAATACATGGCATATTTTACTTACTTTTTATGTATTAGAGAACCAAAATTATTAAAATCTGAGAGGAGACAAGCTCAGAATAAAAAAAAAATCAACAGAAGAGGAAAAGCAATGTTTTTCACATAATAGCATGAATAGCTTGTTTGAAATGTAGGTAGTGAATTCAAAGAGAGAGATATTTGTGCCTCAAATTAGAAATCAGACAGATAGAGTGCTTTACACAAAAAATGTACACATAACCTACAAATAGTAATAAAAATGCAAATACCCCAAGCAGTTCCCATTTTTCATTAATTGAATCCACTTTTTCAAGGAGATCATTTGGTAGTAAAACGCCACCTTTCTTCAAAACTTCAACCTTACTAAGCAGCTCCGTCTTTTTCAGATGTCTGATGGACATTTCTACACTGTACCGCTAAAATGAAAAGAGAAAGAGATATCATTAGGAATAGAGGTGATTTTAGAACAACTCTGACAGAGTTTATAATGCTTATGGATGCAAAAGATTTTGTTTCCAATAAAACTGACATGGAGCCTAAATCTAAGTGTCATGGGTAATTGAGGAATATTGTTGAAAACAGTTAAACATATTATCAAATTACATTATTATGTATACACACAAATATCTAAGTTATTCTATCAATGATACTGATATATGTCTTTTTTAAATTAAGTTTATATTTGATATTATAGTTAGTTTTGGTCAACATTTGATTACAAAGCCAAAAGTCATCTTAGTTCCCAAAAGACAAACTCTAAAATAAGAAGAGTATATGTCTTCCTTTGCTGGTATGATGACTTGAACTCAATGCCTCAAGCTCTTACTCAGCATTTTTTTTTTAAAGCACAGCTGGAGCTCTACTACTTGAGCCATACCTCATTTCCTATGGGACTTATTCCTTAACCTATAAGTTCTCTGACCTCTCAATTAACAAATTGTCTTCATTTCTGTTTTACTGAAAAAATCTGTGTGGGCTTCAAGAAGTTCATATAGAGAGAAGAAACAATAATTTAGGAATGGTTACAAAATTATATTCTTTATTACTGTAAGCTGCTCATGTATATTATAAAACTTTAATATATACATATATAAACATATATATCCCCCAATATACATTAAATTTAGCAAACTGCCAAATGAGTCTCTCTTAAAAGGCGTTTTCTTGGAGATAATGTAGAAGCTACTTAAAAAGATAATTACTGTGGTGATTCTTTTCAATAACTCTATTTAGATAACTTCATAGTCTAGTGGACAACTGTAAGTAATTGTGACTATATTTTAATATATATGTAAAAATATCTCAGTAGGAAAAATCAAACATATTTTACATTTTAGCACATACTATACTTTAAAAAATTATTAGGTTACTGAGTCTACGGTAGCATTGATCTTTTGACTTAAATGACCATGGTGTAATACTTATCAGATCCACTAAGAAAAACTTTTGTCCAAGCAAAGTAGTGCTAATCAGAAAGTTAAAACATGTACTTGGGTGATTTCATTCCCCTTGAAAACATGGTATTACAAAAGCTCTCAAAGTAAAATACAATTGGAAGCAGCTTAAAAGAAAAGAAGGTGTGAAATCACTGTTTCAATTAATAGATCTTCAGCATTTGCATGCATATGTTTGCATACTTTTAGTTTCATATTTTAATCTTTCATTACACTAAACATGAACATCATTTGTATTATGTAAACTTCTCCAAATGTTAGTCATTTGTGGATCATAGAACAAAATGTTTTAAATGAGGTGATTTAAAGCATTTCATATTATTAATGAATGTTGATCAGGGTGTCAGAGTATCCAAAATTACATGAATATGCATATTGAAGAAAATCAAGAGTTGTTTTAGTGCTTTCAGAATCTGGCCTGTAATACATGGGAAATTCTGATTACATTTTCTAACATCAAGCAATTACCAGAACCACGTTACTACAACACAGAAAACACAGTGTCCACTTGAGTTTTCTGGATAGAATACTTAACAAGCATTCTAGAAAACTTTGAAGACTGATGGAGAGGGAAATCTGCTTCATGTAATCAGATTCCCTTGTAAAGAGTTACATGATTAATTTGATGAGACTGACATAATGTTGGGGAAACCAGAATTTCAGGCAGACAAGCAATCTTATTCAAATGTTTCCATTTTGCCAAGAGCAGTCATCTATGGGAGAGTGAGTCCACTGGTTATGCCTTCTGGGAGTGGCTTCTACTGACTAACATTTTTATTTGTGGTTCTCTCGTCTTTTCTTTTTGCCCCAATTTTGCGCAGCTCCTACACAGCAAACCAGTTAAGAAAGAGAGCAGTTTAGATGTATTCCATAAAAACAATAATCTCGTAATAATAAAAATAAAAAGCAACTAATTTAATTTTAGACGTAATAAAATAATTTTCACTGTGTAATATGGCATAAGTAGTTACAGCAATAGCTATTAAAATGGCTATTACATTAAAAAAAACTTGTTTTTATGTATGCTCTCTTTGTCACCAATCCTACTCCATAAACAGCCTGATGGAAAATGTGATTGATAGACATTGTCTTCAAACTATAAAAGCTAAGAGAATCTAGTTAATTGTTAGATATATTGGTATGTGAATGAAAGGTACTAGAATGTCATGAAATTTAAGGTAAAAGCATTTATTTTAATTTTTGAGTACTCTGAAGCTTGAACCTGAAATGATTTAGGGCCTCAAGCCATGTATGTATAGTAATGCCAGGAGGTTATAGTTTTGTCAATGCCAGTATATTTTTGTTTTTTTTTCTCTCTGTAACATCTTTTCAGAAACATTAGATGGAGAGAGTCAACTGCCAGCTCTAACTCTTCTTGTTCATCCTATCAAGTAGGGCTACTTTATCCTGTGGTGAGAAGATAATTTAATCTTCATATTCATTTCACCACAGCAGTAAGTGAGCAGGGGCTGTCCCATTGTGTCCTGTAGTCTGGGGATGTTATGATATAGACTTCTTTTCAATAGCCAAAAATGAGATTAGCAAAGTTAAAGTGAGTTGGCTTTTCTGGAGTACTAAAGTAAATAAGCATTCAGTATTTAATTTCCCCATAGCACCTGCTGTGGGTCTTTCTGTGTAGTCAAAAATAAAATATACTCTATTGAAAGGAAATATTTACATTATTAAGTGTATTTGCCTGGCCAATTCAATTTTAACTAATGAATCTAATAGATTTGTGAATGATCTAAGTTAAAGACACAGTATCCTAAATACTATTATTCCTATTTAAAAGAAAACTTTCAAAAAGCATTCAAAATAACTACATATAGTACCTTAGTAGCTTACTGGTTTTTTTTACTAAGAATTAAAATAAAATTCTCATTGAGAGCTTGCATTTTAAAAGCACAAGATGCCAAAACTGAATTATAAAACAAAGCCAACAAAACCAGAGGTTCTGAAATAAATATACTTAGAAATGGATGCAGACTAGATTGAGATAACTTTTTTTGACAGTTATTTTAAAGGCTCCTCCCCAACCCCAACCTTTTTTTTTTTTGTTAAAAATCACACAGAAAATTCTGCCCAAATGGAGACTGGAACAATGCCTTGAAACAGTGTTAATTGTCACCATGGAAACCAGAAGAATAAGCCATTTTGAAACTGGTATAGAAGGCACACATTGAGCAACTCAAGCATTTTTCTGCCTCCCTCAATGTTAAAGAACAAGATGCCTTGTCACTGTGAGGTCAGAGAAAGAAAGCATCATGAAAGGGTTGTAGATGCTCACTGTCTAGTAAATAAAAAAATAAAAAATAAACTGTGTGCAGCTAATGCTGTAAGACTCTACCCAGTGAATCTATTTTGAAATAGAAAGATCATCAAAAGATGGCTAGGATTGGGGGATGGCTTCCACCTAAGCAAAACTTCAGGGCTATATTATGTGAACCTTGCCCCCAAAGCTCCCTGGGAATTCTGCTGTTGTAATAAAACTTCAGAAGAGGAAAGAAAAAAGGCAGCATGATGGAATTCAAAATAATGCTCTAAAAGCACACAGAGAGATTAAGACATCCATTGTAAGACTTTTGTATGGTGCTTCTGTTGGTTATGCTGAAAAGAGACCAGACATTGCTAAACAGGGAGTGAAGATTTAGCTACGAGAAACACAAGAATTAAACCAAATAATGTTCTTGAATATTAGAATTCTGCTTATTGAGTTATAAATAGTTACATCTTACAACATATTTCTGTATATTAGGAAGAGTTAAGAAAAGTGATCTAGTTATAAGAATGACAAATGTGAGTATCTTTGCCTGCGCACTTTAGTATTTCCAACACCTGTATATTTGCCATGATCACCTTCCCATACACACAATAGGCAGATACATTGTGAAAATAAAATATATCTTAGTGTAATAACAACAAGGTATATGTAAGGAACACACCCAAACATAAAATTACTGTGTGAACATATGCATTTTTGTACTAAAGTGCAAGGATGTGCCTGTCTATGACTCCTATATTATACTCTCCAGCTTGTGTTTGCCCTCCTCATTCCAGGCTTCATGGTGGCCCCTCAGCAAGTCCATGCCTAATGCCATTCAATGGTGAACAAAGAGTCCTTTTATAGGAAAGTCCAGGGTCCATAGCTCAGCTGTACTGCTAGAGGCCAATGTTGCCATTGCAGTAGCGCTTGTGCTGTTCCCTTTTCCAGAAGACTACTATGGGATGCTTCACAGGAGTCAGTACCACCAATACTTGGGGAAGCTATCCAAGATTAAGGAAGGAGGTTCAGGGTCAAGACAAATAATGGTTCTTATTTCTTGCAAACTCCTGTATTTTACCACTAGAATTTATGGTGAATAATTGCATAGAGAAATTATAAAGACTCCTACAATTGTCCTTGTAAATTAATAATAGGCTTTCTTGATTGGGATAAATTTGCTGCTGAGCCTTTGGAAAAATTAAAAAGTGCAATGTCATTTAAAATTGCCAGCACTCTCACAGCAAATTACATCTGAGGTTAAGAATTGAGTTTTGCTCCCCCTTCTAGCTTATTCCATTTGCATGATCTGGAAATCATATTACATTGGCCATGTATTGTTAATTGGACATAGATTGCATTATCTTTAATATAAATCAAACTACAAATATTAAAATGAATTGCAAATTCCCTAATAGAAGATCATAAAACAATCTTTTTAAAAGTATCTCCCATTAATAATTTAATTCCAATTATATCACTCAGGAAATTTAAGTAGGAGACTTGGCAAACTTATTTCACCAATCATTTCTTTTACATAACAAATACTAAAGTCTTTTAAAATAAATACAGCCGGGACAGAATTCATTGTTACAGGATAAAAATAATAAAGACATCGATGACTGAGAAATTTACATGTTGATTTCGTGTAAAATACTGCATAAGAACAGTATGTCTACCTGTGTCTTTTCTTCCCAACTCA